CTATTGTAAATTCAACTGAAATGCATGACATGATCATCCTAAATGATGGATCTCCTACTTTCCTCCGTGGGCGGACTGAGACTGCTATTGATATCTCCCTAGCAACCAGCAGTATAGCAAACCGCCTACTCTGGTCATGCTATGATGACCCCATGGGCAGCGACCACCGACCAATCGAAATCTCTACGAACGATCACCCTCCAAAAACTACACGTCGACCACGCTGGCGTTACGATATGGCGGACTGGGCTACATTTGAAACTTGGATGGATACATACATAGACGAAAACTCACCTTCCAGTATCGAGGATTTTCTCGAGTCAATCCACTTGGCCGCAGAAACCTCTATCCCAAGGACAAGCCCAAGTTCTGGACGGCGAGCCCTCCACTGGTGGACTGCTGAAACACGAACAGCAATTAAAGCAAGGAGAAAAGCAATGCGAGCAGTTAAAAAAATGCCGGATGGGCATCCAGGAAAAAGTGAAGCATTAAAGGAATACAGCACTCAGAGGAACCGATGTCGCCAAACCGTACGAGACGCTAAACGTCACAGCTGGGAGAAATTTCTGGAAACAATCAACAGCAACCAGTCAGCAACAGAACTCTGGAGTAAAGTTAATGCCGTGAGTGGAAAAAGAAAATCAAGGGGAATGGCAATCCGCTGTCACACTGGAATCTCCCGGGACCCTGCGATAGTTGCCGACACCCTTGCTGATTACTTCGCCAATCTATCAGCTGTTAATAACTACAGTGAAGCCTTCCTTCGCCGCAACAAAGCATGCACGAACTCCGTATCAACATTCGTAATACCATCCGATCAGCAAGACTCCTCAATCAACCAACCTTTTACAATGGCGGAATTATCATTTGCTCTCGCTTGTAGCAGTGGAAAATCTGAAGGCCCTGACGACATTGGATACCCTATGCTAAAGCACCTTCCGATTCGGGGCAAAAAAATGCTTCTTAAAAAATTAAATGAATGCTGGCAAAATGACTTCTTCCCAGAACAGTGGCGTCACAGCCTGGTGATCCCCATACCGAAAAACGGATCATCATCAATTGATCCCAAGGACTTCCGTCCAATCGCATTAACCAGCTGTGCCTGTAAGATTTACGAACGAATCATCAACAGAAGACTGACAGCGTACCTTCGAGAAAACAATTTCCTGGATCATAGACAACATGCTTTCCGACAAGGCTTTGGTACAGGAACATACTTTGCTTCTTTGGGCCAGGTTCTCGATGAAGCTCTAAGAGACAACCTACATGTCAACGTTGCCATTCTAGATCTCTCCAAAGCATATAATCGTGCTTGGACTCCCGGAGTACTAAAGATGCTGCAAGAATGGGGCCTGTCTGGCCACATTCTTGGCTCCATCCAAAACTTTCTCATCAATAGAACGTTCCAGGTGACGATAGGAAACACGAAAAGTAAAAAAGTTCCTGAGGAAACGGGTGTGCCACAAGGCTCCGTTCTGGCCGTCACACTATTCTTAGTGGCTATGAATGGAGTATTTGACTGCCTTCCAAGCGGTGTCTTTATTTTTGTATATGCGGACGACATCCTACTGGTTGTTGTTGGGAAATACCCAAAAAAAATCCGAAGAAAACTTCAGACGGCAACAAGTGCTGTTGCCAAATGGGCCGAAAATGCTGGGTTCCAACTCTCCGTCAATAAAGAGTGCAATAACCCACCTCTGCATGAGTAACCACCATCCCTGGAAGTGGCCCATTTCGATTGACGGGGAGGAAATACCCTATAAAAAGCAATGTCGAGTCCTCGGTGTTCTCCTCGATCGCCGGCTCAGTTTTAAGCCACATTTCACAGCAGTTAGAGACCCAAGTAACCTTAAGCATTAGTACAAAGCCCTAAATCTGCTTTACTTCAGAATTACTAGTGCTTATAAGCCCATATACAGCATTGGTAATGCTAAGAAGCCTTTAATCAACTATGCTAATGCTATAAGTCTTTATTCAGCACTGCTAATGCTAATAGCGCTTAATCAGCATTATAAGAGCATTAACAATGCTTGTTAATATTTTGACAGGAAAACCACGTGGTCAGTATTTGTGTGTTGTAGTGAGTTGAATGTCCCAAACATTTTCACAAACACCAACATTAGAGTTTGACAAAGATGATTGAGTAAATGGCTGTCGGATGTCTCTTCACACGCGATTTCTTTTACCACTTCGTATTTTCTCAGGCTCGTAACTCTCGAGCTACAAAATGTACGAAGCTTAAAATAATACCAAGTGTTTTCTGCAGGGAAGTGAGCATTTAAGTATTTTTTTAGAATTGGACATATTCTGTATTGTAAGATTAGAGTTCTGGAAATCCTGAAGTGAATAACTTCCACCAATCGTGTGCTTAAATAAGCCAATTTTCAAAACAATTATCATCATCATCTATAGCCTAGGGGATACAGGCACATGATTGTTGTTCCAGAAGATCCCAGTTCGAGTCTCACTACCAGTAATTTTCAGTATATGAAACACAAATATGAAACACAAATATTGAAAATGGATACAAAAGGTACTTGGGTACTCGCTTGGGTATAATAAAGAAATAATCAATTATCATATTTAATTCCTTTTGTTTCTGGTATGTGAATGACGGGTGGCATTTGATTACTCCAACAGCTCAATCTTTTGCAATAAAAAAGGGAAAAAATAGCCCGGGAATGGATTCGAAAATATTTGACGTTTCTCATACCAGCCCTAAGTAAGCTTTACAAGTGCTTGTGCCGGGCTTACATGGTATCACTATAAAGGCCCGCTATTTCACCTTTTTAGCATTATAGCAGCCCTATATTAGCAGATAGTGCATCATTAGCATTAAATCACAGCTTTATATGCGGATATAGAGCAGAATTAGGCCTACGTTCAAATGCTTATCGGTTACTTGGGGAGAACTGCCAGTCCCGGATTCGGCTCCTGCGGGTTATCACCAGTCGCCATCAATGTAATAACCGAGACATTGCACTTCGAATCTCCAACGCCGTAGTAACAAGCAGGCTTCTCTACGGGATCGAAATCACATGCCGTGCGGCCGACTTGATGGTCGCAATGCTGGGACCGATCTACAACCGCTGTATCAGGACCGTATCAGGGCTACTCCCATCCACTCCAGAAAAAGCTGCTTGCATCGAAACCGGTGTACTTCCCTTTAGGCATCTAATGACCATCGCTACCTGTTCCAAAGCAGTTAGCTTCCTTGAACGCACCATCGGTGAGAATGAGGGAGTGTTCCTCCTCACGGAGGCGAACAAACTCCTTCAATATTTGACCAATCAAGAGCTCCCTCCAGTTTCTGAGGCTCACTGGGTAGGAGACAGAGATTGGAACTCTCCTCAATTGAACATCGACTGGACAATAAAAAGGAACTTCAGAGCTGGAGAAAACTCTATTCACCTCCACAAAGCATACCTACAATTCATTTCTACCAAACTTGCCAATCACCAACTCATATTCACCGACGGCTCTAAAGCACTGGGCCACGTGGGAATTGGGGTAACCGGTCCCAATATAACCTACTTTCATCGCCTACCTGATACATGTTCCGTGTTCACAGCCGAAGCTGTCGCCATATTTTTAGCTACCTCTGGAGCTTCATCGTGTCCTACGGCAATCCTCACTGACTCAGCAAGTGTACTTTCGGCGCTCGAGTCTTACAAGAATCGCCACCCGTAGATCCAAGCTATACACAATGCGGCTAATAGCAACCTTCGATTTGCCTGGATACCCGGACACGTCGAAATAGCTGGAAACGAAACCGCTGACCATCTGGCGTCTGTCGGTCGGGAGTCAAATTTGTATACCAATGAAACGCCAGCTGATGACGTCAAAACATGGGTTAAAACGATCATCCAAGATGCTTGGGCCCAAAGCTGGCAACAAGAAAGATGGCTATTTTTGCGAAAGGTGAAAGGTGACATCAAGAAATGGACTGATCAGCCCCGCTGGAAAGACCAACGAACCCTATCGCGTCTAAGAACGGGTCACACTCGAGTCACCCACGATTATTCCATAGTACCAGACAGGCACAAACGGTGCGATATATGCCAGACAGAACAATCAGTAGAACACATACTTGTGAACTGTCCCAAGTATGAGGATCATCGACGTCTGTATGGTATCCACGCTGGAGTGCGAGACGTTCTAAGTAACGATCCTTCATACGAATCTGCCTTATACCCCGTTCACATTACAGCCTATATCACGTAATATAGGCTGTCTTGCAATGAGCACTCATGCATAGGATTTCCAGTGAAAACTAGATGTATGAGTGCTCATTGCAAGACAGCGTATATCACGTGATATACGATGTAATGTGAACGGGGTATTACTGTGCTTCCTGAAAGACACCGAACTATACACACAAATTTGAAAAACTGATCTTCTGTTAACGCTATGAGATTTGCCATTTCATAACTGATCATCCTGCAAACACCTAACGGATTATTCTCCTAACATCAATATTGTTATCATCTCAGCAACCCACATTTGCCAACGTTTAACGGATTACGATTTTGTTTTACATCTTTATAATATGTATAATATGGCATGAACCACTGTAACTATTTATTATTCAATTGCCAAGGGGGGCCTCACTGGATCTTTGAAAATCCCGATAATAAAGAAATAAAAAAAAAAAAAAAAAAAAAAGTATTGAATCCGAGCAATCTTTATTTAATCATTGGCACAAATAAAGAAACTCCATTCGTCCACATCATATTAAAATTCTATTAATGATTACTTTTTACACATTTTGCAGTAAAAACCGTACTTGAAAAATGTGTACAAAATACACTGCTATTGACGTTTAATGGGTTTACACGTAAATGTTTACACATTTTATGAGTAGACCCCTTTTTTCCCGATGTGTGAATTTTTACACATTAATGTGTTTACGCTGGTTACCGTGTAGTTTTGTTGAGCCACGCAAAGGTGCTTTCTGGCAATCTGCCAGCACGGAAAACATAAGTTGTCATCCCAGATTTCCGAAAACAACATTCACGACCTTTGTGCGGGAAATTTCGTTTGGTGTCGGAGGCAAAATTAATCAGATTATCCTGTATTTTTACAACATATACGCTTGCAAACAGCGCCCCGGTATCGTAAAACTGAAGGTAGTTTCCTAAACATTCTATTTTTTCATAAATCTGCAGCAGGAATTTGTCCTGCTGCGCTCGGTTGAGGTTACGGCGTAAACATAAAATGGCGCAATTTCGGATTTACTTACCGCTCTCTTATGTTTTCTGCAGTACTTTCCCTGGTAGCGTCCATCATGACCGCAATTTCCAGTTTGCAGAACTTTGTCGCCGATGCACTCGATTGCACCAGGTTCAGGTTGGTTCGCGATGAGCGGGATATCGAAGACGAATCGATTGCGTTCCATCCGGATATGGCCCATCAAATCTTTGGGGAACATGAGAGCATCTTTGGGTATCGGGATTTGCAGGTTGACGTTTGCTTCGTGGCCAGTTCGCTGGATATCTATTTCAACATCAAATACTCGAAGAAGGTAGGTGTAAGGTGTAAATAATTAATATAAAAGTTTGTCATTGATTGATTCTTATCCTGTTCAAAGGTTGATGATGTTTATTCGGATGGAGTAAAGGCAGATGACGTCGAAAAAGCTCTCGCTACCCTAGTGGAAGATGGCTGCTATTATACCAATCTCGAAGAGTACAAGAAAGTTGTGAAAGCAAAAACCGAAAGTTTTAAACCATTCGGAGAGAAGGTAGACGAGTTTGAAATAAGTTCAGGAACCTCGGATGGTAGCACCCGTACTTTCGAGGTGTATGTGAGTGACGTCACTGATAAGGAATTCCTCAAATTTCATTCTCGGCTGGAGTCGTTTTCTTTCTGGTTCATCGATGCCTTCAGCAGAGTGGAACACGAACCCTTGTGGATGTTCTTTATGGTGTATGAAAAGTACTCAAACAACAATAATGAAACTCGTTACGCCACCGCTGGGTATTTCACAGTCTATCAGTATTTTTCGTATCCGCAGTTTATAAGACCAAGAGTAAGTCAGATTCTTGTGCTGCCTCCTTTCCAAAAGCTCGGAATTGCTTCGAGACTGATTGAAGAAACTGTATTCAAACACTTCGTTCCGAAGGAGAACGTTGCCGACATCACCTATGAACAACCGACCGATATTATCCAGCATATTCGTTCGGTGGCGGATACAAAACGCTGTATGACGCTGCCGTCATTTGCCGAGAACAAACTACTGGCTGGATTTTCGAAGAATATGCTCAGAGAAGCGAAGGAAAAGTTCAAGATCAATCCCAAACAGTGTCGTGTCATCTACGAAATTCTGCGCTTGGGGGCTATTGATATGAAGAACGAGGTGGAGTATCGTAAATATCGGGTGGAGGTGAAGAAACGATTGAATGTCAATGACAGCCGGAATCGTCGTGAGTTGTTGCGACTTCAGAAGAAAGGAGTTGATGTTAGTGGAGCGTTCAGCATTTTGCCATCTCTGGAGGATAGGATTGAACAGCTGCATGCGGCTTACAAGGTAATTGCGTGTGGGCTTTGCAAAGATTACAGTTATGGGTAATTATTTGTTTTTCATTGCAGGAAGTGGAAAAAGTCTACCTTCAGGTGCTGAAGAAAGTACAATCCATTAATAAGTAAATCTTCTGGGAGCATCCGTTGCATCATCACTATTTTTACCTCTTTTCCTTGAAGGAGTCCGTCATACTTCATTTGTTTCGTTTGTACCAGAAATCATTTGTTTTAGTAACTTACATTATAAAACTATTCTTATGTTACGATAAAACAAAAATGTGGTGTAACGTTAAATGCAATCGTTAATTAATGAATTCCGAAAAGTTATCCTGCAGTATGGCACCTGTTTTTTTAACTCATTGGTGTCATTTGATTCGTCCTTTAACAAAGCTGTGGAAAAAGCCTACCTTTAATTCTTTTAATTTAGCGGATAACTTGAAGGAATTGAAGGTAGCTGTAAGTTCCAGTTCGGACATTTTAGCCATGAAGAAGAAGAAGTTCGAATGGTGAATGCAGAAATCCGTCAATAAGGTGCGATCCCAAAACCGCTTGAAACTGTAATTTTCCAGGACATGATCGGAGCGGTACCAGTTTTTTGGCAAACATTCCTTCAAAAGACCACGTAGCGCCAACTGTTGATCTTGAACGACTCCGTTGCTTGGTGTAGGCTGCATTGGTAGTCTGTGCAGCCTGCCACGATATGGCCAATGGTGCCCGGTGCTAGGTGAAACATCAACCAAACATATCGCCGGAAATCCTATCCTGGGCTGGCTATCATATAGGTCACTACGCACTGAGGATAAAATCGCTAAAATGTCTCAACATTCAATTATTACTGTTCACGGGAAGACGAAACAACTCAAAATTAAGTCTTTTGTACATTGTACTCATCTTGACACCTAAGTGCAACCAGTCAAAATTGAGTTCTTTGCGAAGTATCCAATTTTATGTCTTATAGAAAGACATCGTTTTGAGTTGAATGTAACTATTCACACTTAGAAAATAATACCGAACTCGGTTTGATTTCAACCGAGTTTTTATCTGCTGAACGCTCGGTAGTCTGCTCGGTTCAAAGAGGAATAACCGAGCAGTCGTTATTTTTTTTGTACCCACAATCTGTCAAAGTTACCGAAAATCTCGGTTGACGAAAAATAAATTTAAGCAGAAATTACCGAACATCGGTTCACTCAAGAACTACCGAGTGCTGTCAAACAAACCGACCCACCTGTTGTAATTACGGAATTCGGTTCTTTTGGGCAGCGCTCGGGTTTCACTTCAAATCCTGCTTTAAATTTGGATTAAGGATACGTTGCTTCGAATTTTCATAAAAATAAAACCAGTTTTGTCAAAGAAATGTATGAAGTGTGTTTATTTTATTTGTTTTGGGATGCAGAAATGTGATTTTATAATTGCAAATTATTAAAAAAAGAAGCTGTTCAAAAAGGAACCGTCGCTACCATGAGAAGGAGAGGCTCAATCGAGCGAAACTAAAAATTTCTCACATGTAGTGCTCATACTACCTACACGATAGACTGCGCCGGCAAGAAAGGAATGGAACTGCTTGTCCTGTTGCGGTGGTTCCAAACCGAATGCAGTAAACGAACCGAACCAAACCTCAAATGCAGACGCAACGTCAAGTTGGACATTGACCAACATTGATCCCAAACAGACGGCAAAGTCTGCTGAATCCTCCATGAACGCTCCTCGGCAAATCAATACCGGGCCATTCTTATCAGTGGGAAAATCATCTTCTGGCTGAAAATAAAAATTAAAGGTACTTGTATAATACGATAACCTATCCAATAGGCAATCTAATAATCTTACACTTATCCACTCCATGACGCCAGCCAATGGATTTTTCTTGGTAGCATCATTGATTTTATTTCGCTTAACACCACGTGATGGGCATTTAGCACGGATTATTGCCAGCGCTCTGATGAATTCTATGGGAAATTAATTATCTAAATGTGTGGACTCATTGAAGCTTTAAACGCAACTTACTGTTTTTCAACTCCACGAACATATCAGCGTACTGCTTAAGGATCTTATTCTGTAATTCTTCCCAGTGATCGGTGAACGACTTCGCTCCAGGCTTGATTTTTGTAAATTCCAGTTTGATCTACAGAAATAAATTATTAATATTCGATCTACCAAATCTCAAGTACAGTTTTTGTATAGGTCCTGACAAGGGTGTGAATATAGTAAAATAATCAGATTGTTTTTATCTATCAAAGAAATCACAGAGCCTATTGAAAAAGTACTCATGAGATTATTCAATATACACTTACAAGTTCTCCATTAAAGGCACCAATCACGGGAAAATCTTTCAAATATTCCACCAAAGTCCCCGCTGTACGTTTTTGTTGTCGACTTGCAAATGTTTTCTCCCATAGTTCAACAATTCTCACCTTAGATTGAACATTTGGAACAATGAACTTCAATTCAAGCACCTGAAATTTGTAAGAAAATATTAATCGTTTACCCATTTTGATATTTACCTTTAAATTTACAAGGTCCTCCATATTGTCATCTTCTTGTTCAAGAGTCGCATCAATTTCATTTGTATGGCTGAATTCACCAAGTTTTCGGCGTTTGATTATGCGTTCATCTGACTGCCTTGCCACATTCTCCATTCTGTAATATACACTGCCAGCATGACGGTTCAGCCCTCTTCCGTGGGGATGGAACCACAGCGACTAAAAACGAACGAGATTCAGTTTACAAGACAAACTTTCTACTATTTGGCAAACAGTGTTTGTGTCGAGGTTTGTGCTACTGCCGTAGTTGACATTGTTTATGAAACGTAGTGTAAAGCCAATGAGCTGGATTACCGAGGTGAAGCAATCACACACACAACTGAGTGACAACACTGTATAGAAGAAGCATCAAAGGAAAAGGAAGGGACAAACAATAATTCTAGATTGATTTTAGAATGGGTCCTATCTCCATTTTTCGATCAAAGAATCGATTAACTTTATTCGGTTTCTACCGCAACCTGAGCGATGGATTTGAAATATTTACACATGCAATCAAATCTCAAACCTTGAACTGTTGATTGCATGGATCAGTATTGCAAATCCATCGCTCAGATCGCGGTAGAAAGCGAATAAAGTTAATCGATTATTTAATTGACAAATGAAAATGGGACCTATTCTAAAATCAATCGAGAATTGTTGTAATTTAATTATTGATCGATATTAATCTCGTGTAACATTTGAAAAGCGCCTATCATTGTTGATCAAGCTATCATTCAAATTAGAGCGCCTTTATTAGTAGAGTAACATGTCAAAATTGAAACAACCGATTAGGTGTCATTTCCATACAAATCGCCGTTTCAATCCAGCAGAAGGCTTGTCAAATGACTGAGATGACGTCGCTCTACTAATTCAGGCACTCTAATTCAAATAATACGCGATACAATCCACAACATTCGTGAGAGAAAAACGATGAAGAGAATCGATCAACAATAATATTCCCTTTTCAAATGTTGCGCGAGAAATTCGACCAATTTTTTGTCCATTTCAATTCCTTTGCCTTTGACGCTTCGCATTGCTTGCTTTACACTAAGTTTCGTAAACAATGTCAACTACGGCTGCAGCACAAACAATGTTTTCCAAATACATAGTAGAAAGTTTCAATATATTGCTTATTAATTATTGGTGATAATTAACGCTATTAGTTAAAACTGTTGACTTACTTGTGGAATCTCGGCATTCTTCGAACTCAGTGCAGGATATGTTTCAACCAGTGACAAGGCGATCTGATTTTTGTAGAAGTTGCTGGCGTGCCTGGAAACAAACAAACAAATCAATAATTAGCTATGCTTGTATTAATCAGAAACATCGTCAGCTAGGTTTTCGTTTCATACAATGATTTCAAGCAATCGCAAAGAAGTGCTGTGATTTGTCTTCGAATCGTTTCCTTGGGTCGTCCACCTTCTTTCAGTAGTTCCATGATGCATATTCCGTTGTCGGTTCGATCAAATACCCGATCAATATTGATTTTCTAGAATATATAGAAACAAATATACGTTGATTGAATGACCCACATATAATATTGATACGTTTCAAACCTGCTCCAAGATGATCCCTTCATACGGATTGTTTGCATTGATCACCCTTCTGGACACATCAGCTTGTTCATGATAATCAGCGTCAACCATAGTGTCCTCAAGCCATTCTTCCGTGCTCTTAGTTTCATCGTAATTTCTGTACTGTGTTTGTATCTTCTGTATAGTTTTGATCATTTTTGTAGTGAGTCCGAGTCTGGTAAAGTCATGTTCGTTCAGTGATAGAAACATTTGTAAGTTGTCGATCTCTTCCTTAGCTGAAAAAGAATTACTGCCATTAAATATTCTAAAGTTCCAACAGAGTTATTTGTTAACTACTTGTACTAATAATCTTGATTGTACACTCGCCGTGAAATGTACTTCTTCGGACTGTCGTATGGTGACCAGAATGAAAATATTGAATGCGTATGGCATTCTTCAATAGACATAAAATCATCTTTGGCTAGGCTTTCTATCTCGTACGCTTCTAGAAAATCATTATACGTCGCAGTTTTACAGGATCGAATTAGGAAGAAAACTTTTCCATCGATGACATTGATTTCTCGTATAATCCCGTATGTCGGATAGAACTCGTTGTCATGAATTTTTAATCCAAGTATCGCGTTCATTCTGAACTCAACCCCATTAAGCGTGACGGTTTTTGGTTTGCAGATAAACTGCAGATGTGGATACAGAAATTGTTCACTGAGGCAGTCATCACGTAAGGCTAGGGTTCCAGAGTTGAATGTCAGCTTGTCGCGGAATGGCTTATCAAGCACGTTCATTATCATTCTCTGACATTGCCGCTTGCCCAAGCTGGAACAAATATTCTTAAAGTTTTTGCACGTATTCGCTTGATTCTTGCTTATTTTGTTCGTTTGTTCAAATTGAAAGCAATTGTATTGTTTCATTGAACCACTCTTCCTTATGCAGAGAGCGTAGTGACGCAAGTGATGCAACTTGTTGATACGCTGCTTAAAGTTTTCGAAAAAACTATCCTCAAAGTATGTTATATGTTCTTCCAGCTGTGCAAGTAGGTGTTCAGATACGACTGGTGACGAAATTATCCTCACGATATTAATTAGATGACCGATCATACGCATGAGCATACAATCCTTGGAGACAACATGACCATAAAGGAACGGGAAAGCTCTTATCAAGAGAAGAGACTGTGCAGATGTTTGTTTGATTTTATGCTGGGCAGGGTTAGCGAGCATTTCGTCTTTAAAATTTGGTGAAGGTTTGTTGCAGCGGTCAGCGTAACCAAAAGGAAATGTGTTAATGCGATTGTTTATGAACTTTGCTGTTATCTTTAAATGTTTTTGTTTGTATAAAGTTGATAGCACTAGTTGGATCGTCAGGGGCACTATCCCTTCAGCAAGGTCGTGCATGCTGTCGAGGCAGAAGTTGTTACTGGTATGGTAGAACTCTAATTCATTGAAAATACATCCTGATGTACTCAGTCCACAATCTTTCGGTATCAGCAAACCATCCTGTACTGCAGCAAGTTGATCTTCATACCATTCTTTCGATCGCAACGGATATTCTTCGGATGGATTTGAATGAAATTGATTCCTTGTAATCTGGCAAATTCGGCAAAAATAGTTGGCCCTTGGTCCAAGTAACCCAAACACGTCATGAACCGCAAGTGTATCGCCGCAGAAAATCGTCATAACAGCTCTTAAGACGAATTTCTCTGAACCGTAATAAACCGTTACGCCTTGTTCCAACTTTTTTAGGTCAGCGACGAAAGGCTCCAGAATTTTTGTGAATCCATGCTTTTTTATGTCTACTGAAGTACAGAATAGAAGCGGAAAAGCTGTACGTGGTGAAGAATTCCACTTCTCAGGAATATTCTGTATTTTGAAACATAAGTTAGAAACTTTATTTATCCCGGCTTTTGAACCGAATGCGTTGCCAAGTTCCACATCGTCTTGGTAAACACTGATCCTGATGGCATTAGGATACAGTTGAAAGAATTCGCTATTTTTGAAAATTTCACCTGTCCTGAATGAGCTGTATTCGGTTACACAAGGCGTGCTGGAAGTTTCTAGATTCGGTTCATTCAAAAGTTTCCGATTTTCTGGGCTTCTGAATATGAATTTCAATGAATCAATAATGCTGGTGTACGAAGCGGTCTCGTTTACCATAACTTTTTTAGGAAGTGATTCGATGTGGCGTACATCTTGTCTCCGATTAAGCAAAATATCCCTCGGCTTGGGTGTAGAAACGGCAAGCTTATTCAAGTACTGTGTCTGCTTTTTGAAGGATCTGACCTGGTCAAAAAGATTGCATAGTCTAAATGTATTTAGAAACGCTACGGAATCCTTCGTGTCAACATCAAATCCTTGTGCACTCAAAAATTTCACAGTTTCTGCCTCAAGGTACCCTGATACGTGCCGAACTATTTCGTCACAAAGCTTTATAAAATCATTGATTTTTGTGTAAGGTAAACCTACATCATATGTAATGCGGCAGATGCTAATATTTATTATTTTTATTAACTCTTCCAAATCTATACTTGATTCGAGTTTAGGACCGTTCTGTTGATTCTGGAACAATAAATCATCATATGTTCCTTGTCCTGCCACAGGACAATCATCAAAAATTTCTTCCACGGTAGAACGTCGAGAGTTTGCCGGATGCTTTTCCACTATATGCCGTTTCAGCGAATAAAAACTCCCGTAACGCGAGTTACAGCGTGGAAAAGCACAGTCAAAAAAAATATCACTGGCTTTGAAGTCATTTTTATGCAAATGGTTTTTAAAATGCCTTTGCAAGCCAGTGACATAACCCTGTATATTTTCACGGCAGTAAAAACAAACGATAGCACAAGATTCCTGCAAATAAAATCATAGCATTAGTTTCAAATACTTACAAAAGATGTCAATCAAACGTGCATCCTCCTGTTGCAGCTGCTCCAGAACCTTTTCCATTTTTGCACACGTCCGACACACGTCCACACTCGAGAAAAAATGGCTGAATAGTTTTAGACTCAGCTTATAGAACCTCGTAGAGAACCGAGTTTTCGGTTAAATTTTCCGTCGCGAAGTTGAGCGCAAGTGGAACGTTTGACGTTTAACACGTTTTAGCGAATATTCGGTTCAGTTTACCGAGTTCCTCGGTTTTCACGTACCGAATTCGTAAATGTTGATACTTTACCGTACTTTTCGGTTCAGCCTTCGTTTTTATCTGTCAAATTTATACTATTTTACCGAAATTCGGGTCTGATTTTATAAATCCGCCTAAAAAAATGTTTTTAAACGATTTATTCGGTTTCTCGTTGATAACCGATGAGGTTCGGTAGAAAATTAAACCGAGTTCGGTATTATTTTCTAAGTGTGCATATTAGCTTATTGCGTGCTCTCAACTTAGTGTTCTAGATGCACTTCCACAGTTATTAATTGAGAGCTTTCGATGCCTGTACCATTTTTGCATTGATATGATTGTGTGGCAAGTCCAATCATACTCTTATGCCCAGGGAAGTCGAGAAATTTTCCAACCCGAAAAATTTCTAGACCGAACCGGGAATCGAACCCAGCCACCTCCAGCATGGTCTTGCTTTGTAGCTGCGCCTTTACCGACTGAGCTAAAGGAGGCCCCTTCTTTATTCAAATATTATAATATATATTATTGCCTTCTTTATTCAAATATCAAAATATCAGAAAACAACGTAATAAATACTCAAAGAAGAAAATACTCCCATTTTAGTAAAAATGTAAAGCTTTCTTTTCGAAAACGAAACTATTGCGGTTAATGTTATGCTGATAAATAACCTATTCTGAAATCCGGGAAATGTGATATCACCCTAGCTAACTAACAAGACAAAAGGAGCACATATGTGAAAAGCCCCGTTAAATGTACTGAAAAGTCACCTCCATTTCTTATTTCGATCAAAACCGATTATTACAACCCGTTTCGATCGAAATCATAAAAAGGGGTAACTTTTCAGTACCTTTAAACTCCCACCACATTCCCTGCCAATCACATATGTGCTCCTGTCCTAGCTCCTAACTGATTTAAAAAAACTTCTAACGGTGGCATAGCATTTCCCAGAGTTTCACTTCCCGAAATAGGCCATTTATCTGAATGTCTAAAATCATATGCTTTCAAAACGGAAATATTTCATTCTATATTAAAAATTTGGCCAATGGGAATATTGCCTTCTTTATTCAAATATTAAACAAGAAACAGCAATAAGCAAACATAAAAAAAAAAAACAAAATAATAACACCAAACCAACGTAATGAACACTCAAAGAAGGAAATATTCCCATTCTATTCAAAATTTTAAAGTTCTTTTCTAAAATATTCGAAAACGTAACTATTGCGGAAAATGTCATGCTGATAAATGGCCCATTCTGAAATGAAAATCTGGTAAATGTGATACCACCCTCCTTGCTAACTAGCTAATATTTGAGATCGGCAAATTTGGAAGTTGCTAACTAACAAGATAAAAGGAGCACATATGTGATAAGCCCCGTTAAATGTACTGAAAAGTCACCTCTATTTCTTATTTCGATCAAAACCGATTATTACAACCCGTTTCGATCGAAATCATAAAAAGGGGTATCTTTTCAGTACCTTTAAACTCCCACCACATTCCCTGCCAATCACATATGTGCTCCTGCCCTAGCTCCTATCAATATCCTACAAAAACTGATTTTACGATTCTTGCTACCTATCTAACTAAAACCTGTAAACTCTATCTTTTCTAAATATATTCTATTGCGGAGAGGTGCTGGCCAAAGCCATCGGACCGACACTTTCAGCAAATATGACATAGTTTTGATGTCTTTGAGTCAGCTACAAAGCTATTATAATATATTTATTAGCTTATATAAACATTATATATAATATTACTTACAAAATCGGTAACTGGTTATTGGAAAACAATTGATTCCAACCGGCACCTCTTCACTACAATATCTTCACGATTGTACTCAGTATGCATTATTAGATTATCGGTCAACAGATATTAGGGATGATCACTTTTTATATTGCTCAATTCTGAGAAGCGCAAATTTACGCAACAAATTGCCAACAGATTACCGGACGGGATGATTTCCGAAATAATAATAAAGCAGAGAGACGACCGATAGTTAGGATTTATGTTTGAGTTGCGCAGTATTATTATTTTCCTGCAAGGGGATACATGTAGGTTTTAGATTATATCCTTGTACATAATGTTATCATCATACTCAAAGTTAGCATGCTATCACCTAATTTATTAACTTACGTTTAGTCCGTTCTATTGTGTGCGATCTGTGATCAGAAATCGTATCCGGTGTTCAAAGGTGTTCTATCGGTACGAGTAGGCCGTACTATTATCTGATTTGACCTTGTACTAGCTGCCCGTACTATAAATTATTTAGGTGTAAGTAGGTTTTAAAACAAATTATCATTAAATTCAAATTTTACCTTTTAGCATCCGATATAGACTACACAATTTCAGGTTATAATTATGTAGAAAAACATCCTTTGAGATTCACTATCAAAATGATTCAATTATAGTTCAATGTACTAATTTTAAATACTACCTTATACCTACATAAGACTGCCACAAATAGAAATTCACTTGGCGTTGAATATAATAAGTTTAAGTATAAAATTAATCATCAAATTTTACTGCATGGAACTTTCACTTTCTATGGGTATCTTTCCTTTATGTGGTTCTCACTCACTACTACTATGATACGACGAACTGTCAAGGCCGGTGCGTATTGGGCGGTTGCGATGATGTACGCGATGGTCAAACCCACGCTACAGTAGAGGCGCGCTGGCGTGAACGCGCCAACACTCCCCCCAGGTACGTTGACCACCTAGTCTACTTACTCCGTTCCGCGCCGCACGTCTAGCACGGCTATCTTGGCTACCGGACGCTCGTAGATCCCGGTCAATGTCCTAACTGTTGCTGATCTGGGTTGGCCGTCTCGTCCAGGTTGGGTACATATGATCCTGCCCTTCGGCCAGCAGTTCCGTGGCATCTTCGGGTCAGCTATGACCACTATATCGTCGACCTCGATCGGCTTCGTATGGACGAACCACTTGGTACGGCGAGTTATCTCGGGCAAGTAGTCGCTTACCCAGCGCTTCCAAAACAGGTTGGTTTGGACTTGAGATAGTCGCCAATTTTGGCGCAGCACGGCACCGCTGTCATCGAGGGTGCAGAGAGGCTTAATTCCATTGGATGCCCCGAGTAGGAAGTGGTTGGGTGTCAAGGCTGGAGCTGAATCGTCGTCAACTGGAACGTGTGTTAGCGGTCGGGAATTGACCGTGCCTTCTATTTCGGTGAGCAGGTTCCGCAGGACCTCGTCCGAAAGCTTCCGTGCTGGTAGGATCGCCATCAGGTTCTTTTTGACGGAACCGATCAAGCGTTCCCAGCTACCACCCATGTGCGGGGAAGAGGGAGGCAAGAATTCCCAGCTCGTGTTGACATCGATGAACTCCTTCATTAGCTCCTCTTGGCTCACTAGCTTTTCCGCTTCCGTCATCTCCCGGTTCGCTCCGATGAAATTGGTGCCCCGGTCGCTATAGATCACTCGTGGTTTTCCTCGTCGGGCCACGAAGTTCCGAATCGCCATGACGCACGAGTCAGCGTTGAGGGAATGAACGACTTCGATGTGAATCGCACGTATCGTGAGACAGGTAGCGAGCATCCCCCAGCGTTTCTCAACTCGGCGGCCAATGATGACCTCGTACGGCCCGAAGAAGTCTACGCCAGTATGGGTGAAAGGGCGTTCGAAAGCGGCAAGTCGTGCCGCCGGCAAGTCAGCCATGATCGGCGGGCGTGGAATTACTCGGTCGTTTTTACAGCGTTGGCAGTCTCTTCGCACTTTCGTGTAGGTCATGCGAAGTTTAGGTATGCTGTACTTTTGGCGAATCTCATTGATCACGGTCTCGTGATTCTGATGGTGGTATTTTTGGTGGTATTGTGCAACGATTAACTTGGTGGTGGGGTGGTCACGGGGAAGTATTACAGGATGCTTAGAATCTTCGGTCGCGTAATGACAAGCGGCGATACGTCCTCGCATCCTCAGGATCCCATTCTGATCCATCCAGGGTGTTTTCTGGTGCAGCACACTTGACTTGGGAATCGAAGTCGAAGGTTGGTCCGAGCACTGCTGCTGCTGCTGCTTCCGAAGAACTGCTATCTCGTCCGGGTAGGCTTCTTGTTGGGCTTGACGAATTAGGTACGACTCGGCGGAGGATATGTCGCGGTCGGAGAATGGTCCGCTCACGATTGGCTTCTGCAGTTTCTTCAGCCTACAGTTGACGGGAAACCGTTGAACAAGAGCGACCACTTTAACCAATCGCTTCCAGCTGGAGAATTTGCTCGTGCTAACTATCGGCTCTGGGGCAATGAAGTGCGTCAATACACTAGGGCGAAGTTCTAAATTGACGGAATTCGTTCTAGTTGGTGAACGCGGCCAATCTGTTTCCAGGTACTGTAGGAACTCGGGGCCGTTGAACCATCTCGCCTTCGGGGCCAAATCAGGAAGTCCTTTCCATTTTGTTCCATCATCAGCTACGTTCAGATCTGTTGGAACGTATCTCCACTCTCTCATTTCCGTGGTGTCCAGGATCTCGCTAACCCGGAATGCGACGAATTGCGAATAACGTCGATGGTCGGAATTAATCCAGCACAGTACATCTTGCGAGTCCGACCAGTAGTAGCAACAGGAGATTCGGACTGAGAGGGCATTCGATACGGATCGAGCTAGCCTGGCGCCGACCAATGCTGCTTGAAGTTCTAATCTAGGAGTGGATAGAAATTTCAACGGAGCGACTCTGGTTTTAGCAGCCACCAATCGGCATTCCACTACGTCGTCTTGAGCGAAGCATAGATAACAGACCGCAGCCATCCCGTTGTCACCAGCGTCTACAAACGTGTGGAGCTGGATATCTTCACAATCTGGAGTGGTTCGTGTGCGGTAGCATCGAGGAATGCTGATTTGTTCAACTTGTGGCAGTACTTGCAGCCATGTTTGCCACTTGTCGAAGAGAGCATCATCGATTTCGTCGTCCCAGTCGATTCCGGAACGCCATACGTCCTGAAGCAGAACCTTCAAGTACATGAGGAAGTGCGCGATCAGTCCGAGTGGATCGAACATGGACATGAGAACGCGTAACATCTCTCTCTTCGTTGGATGTCGTTTACCTTCCAAAAGCGCTTGTCCGTAGCGAGTCCATCCTACTTTGTACGTAAAAGTATCCGAGTCAGTGCACCACCACATTCCGAGCACTTTCTCAGTTGCTAGTTCTGGCGACAGGTCGAGGTTCTTCTCTTCCGTGTGTTCCTCTTGTAGAGCCTCCACGGCACGCTTAGAGTTGCTAATCCAGTTACGGATCTCGAATCCGCCTTTCGAATGCACCTTCTTCACTTGTTGAGCAAGTTGGATAGCTTCATCTTCGGTTTCAACACTAACCAGCATATCGTCAACGTAGTGGCGTTTCTGAATCACTTCAACTGCCGCTGGATTTTCTGCCTTGAAGCGCTCGGCGTTCAGGTTTTTGACATACTGGGCACTGCTAGGAGAACAACAGGCTCCAAACGTCATCACCTGTAAGACGTAGACAACAATGTTACCGTCGTCATCGAACCAGAAGAATCGTTGGCAATGCTGATCTTCCAAACGCATGAGGACTTGCAGGAACATCTCGCGCACATCTCCAGTAAGTGCGATTCGGCCTTCTCGAAACTGAATCAGGATAGTGTACAGTTCGCAGAGCTGATCCGGACCTTACAGTAGAGCTGAATTCAACGATACTCCACACGCGGAGGCCGCAGCGTCCCAAACTATTCGGATCTTTCCCGGCTTGTTGATGTTGGTCACCGGAAATGTAGGCAGATACCAAACCCGTTGAAATGGTTGTTTTAGTTCCTCGTCGGTGAGTCTTCTGGCGTATCCTTTCGTGACGAAGTCGGCGATTTTCTGATGCAGCGTTTCAGCGAGCTTTGGGTCCTTGTCCATTCGCTTCTTGAGGCACTGTAGCCGGCGTAGAGCCATCGGGCGACTATCTGGTAGACGAATATTGTCGTAGCGCCATAACAGGCCGGTTTCGTAACGGTCTCCTTTGAACACGGTGCGAGATTCCAGCAGGGACTTAGCTCGTTCATCTTCTGCAGACAAAAGCGCTCTTCTCGGCTGCGCAACTCCCAAGCTATCAATTGCAAAATATTCTTTCATCGCCTTGTGTAGATCCTCATCCGTTTGTGATTCGCATGGGCACACATGGAAAACTGAGTGCACCAGATTACTGGCATCGTCTTGGTTTCCTCCTCCGCAAACTGTCCAGCCTAGTCTGGTTTTCACGGCGATCGGTTGGTTTCGTATACCCTCTCGGCTCTTCAGGACTAGACTGAGGTGTTGATCCTTCATACCGATCAGGATTCTCGGCCGAACATCTTGATACGAAGCAATCGGCAAATCCTTTAGATGAGGATGCAGTTTACGAAGTTCCTCTATGTTGAGCGTTTGCGATGGAAGCAGAAGTTCATTTACTGTGCGCACGCCGTTCAAGGTGTACTTCTTGGAAGGATGATGTGCTGCCGCCACATCCAGACTGACTGCTCTCGAACTGTTTTCTCGTCGTTGCGCTCCTCCTGTCCAGTGCAAACACAGAAGCTTTGGCTCCCCTTCAAGCTGCAGCTCATCGGCTAGCTCTTTGTCGAGAAGTGTGAGCGCCGACCCATCATCCAGGAAGGCGAATGTCTGGATCGAACCGTGTTTTCCTTGAAGTACGACCGGTAAGTAGCGGAAAAGAACCTGACTGGACGTAACCTGATGAGTATGGCAGCCGTGCCCGGACGTACTATTTCCTGGTTGAGCAGGGTCGTTGCGCTGAGTTGATGTAGATTTGTTCGTGGTATTGGATGACGTATTCGTGGATGACGACGTGTTCTTCTGATCGTTGTGCAGCAACTCGTGGTGCTTCAACTCGCACCCATTCTTTCCACATAGCTTGGCTTGACATCCTCCATTGTGCCGGCGTAGGCATCTCCGACATAGGCCGAGGTCTCGTACCGTAGCCCAGCGTGAATCACGGGAGAACTCTATGAAGCTCTTGCATTTGGCGATCCACTTGCAGGTTCCCTTGCATACGGGGCAGCTATCATGGACCACTTTCGCGTTGGATGATGCTGCGGTGCGATGATCCGATGGCGATTCCTCAGTGTGTGCATTGACAAAGTTCCCTTTTTTATTTCCACGAATATCGTTTCGAACAGTTTTAGGATCGAAACCGTTGTTGGGAATGATCACCGCGCTGGCAGCCTCTGCTAGAGAATACAGCCAGCTACTGAACGACGGAAGGTTGACCATCGGAAGCGATTGCCTGTATTGTGCCCAATTCAGCTTGATGGAAGAAGGCAGCTTGTTGACGAGTTGATGGAGAAAGGTCACGTTGTAGAGGTACTCCTCCAGTCCACACGCGTCCACTGTCGCACAGAAATTTTCGACGTTGACGGCAAAGTCTACGAGTGTTTCCAGTTTATCCTCTTTCAGCGCTGGTAGGGAGTTGATCTTCGACATCATCGAGTTGACAATCACCTCAGGTTGCCCGAACAGCATCTTCAGTGTCGACATAACTCCATTGACGTTGGAAGGATGCATCAGCCGACATTTTACCGCCTCGTATGCTCGACCCTTTAAACTTCGCTGCAAACGAACTATATTTTCCTCGTCGGTGAACCCACACATTGTTGTAGTGCTATTGAAGGTTGAGAGGAAGAGGGGCCATTCCTCAGGATTTCCAGAAAACATCGGTAGATCCTTTGAAATAGCTTGTCGTGCAGCTAATTGCTTTCGAGTAAGCGGACATGGATCGAAATCGTCCTCTTCGCGACCGTGAGGTCGACTGGATCGTCTAGGCGGAAAATTCGGATGATTTTGCGGAGTACCCTGAAATGGAAACGGCATAGGCATCGGAGGATCCGGGCAAGGATCGAAGCCTGGATGCGAAAGAATCGGTTCTGGTTCCGGGTGTCGTGGAACAGGTACCGGTCGTGGATTTCTTTGAACAGGATCTGGAACAGGTCGTGGTGATTCCGAACGCCGCAGATCAGGATTCGGATATAATTGTTGTGGAATCTGGAGCAAGCGTGGAGATCCACGATTCGGAACTACCTTCGGAGCACCAGGAGTCGGGACCGGGTGCATACGATTCGGTGTCGATACCGAACGAGGATGTCCTGGATCCGGAAATACTCCTAACGGTTCTGGAATCGGAAACGGCTGCGGATAATTTACAGCTGGAACAGGCCTCGGCGATTTATGCGATAGAACCGGACGTAGAGGAGTAAGATTCGGAACCGGCCTTGGATGTTCTGGAATCGGGTACTGTTGTCGAGGATTTGGAATCGGGTCCGGTATTGAAAATGTTGCCGGATGGCCCTGAACGACGGCTGGTTGGCCATCGGGGTCAAGCTGATTCTCCTCTTCCGGATCTTGCTCTGGATCTGAAGCCTCTTCTTGATGTTGCTCTTCCACCCAGTTCTTCATGCGACTTAATGACACGATGCTACTCGAATCATCCTCACTTAAGGCTTCCTCCAGCAGTTGATATTTTTGTTCTAAATAGGCCTTTTCTTTCCTTGCTTCTTCCGCTGCGATTGCTCGTTTCAGTTCCGCTTCCCGCAACTCAATAGCCCTCAATTCGTCCAGCTTCTGAAGTTTCAGTTTCGCAAGGGCTTGTGAGGAGCGACTCGATGCAACAGACGCTTTCGATGCGTTTCGCGATGAATTCTTCTTCTCGCCAACTTGCCACTGCACAGTTGTGACGGATGGAGCCGTCGACCGCTTTTTATGACCACCACTTTCTTGAGGACAGACTGCACCAGAAGTTGAACTTGTTGCCTGGACACCTTTCGCGGTTTCGCATTTGGTACAGCTCCAGGAATAATTCTCGACTTGCTGCGTGACTCCGACACATTGGAAATGATGCCATTTCAGGCAATCGTCGCACCTCACCATATCATCCGTGTCTTCTCCTCGGCACACCTGACATGTATGGCCGGGATGGGACTCCTCCGGATCTTCCGTGACCACCGTTTGCACACCATCATTTGCACTTTTCACCACTTCACCAGACTTGCCCGACTGTTTCGACCGTAAACTTCGACTTGACATGACCGGATTTCTACGCGCTTATTTCGTGTATAAACGAAAATAATAATATGTTGGAAATTGCCAACAGATTACCGGACGGGATGATTTCCGAAATAATAATAAAGCAGAGAGACGACCGATAGTTAGGATTTATGTTTGAGTTGCGCAGTATTATTATTTTCCTGCAAGGGGATACATGTAGGTTTTAGATTATATCCTTGTACATAATGTTATCATCATACTCAAAGTTAGCATGCTATCACCTAATTTATTAACTTACGTTTAGTCCGTTCTATTGTGTGCGATCTGTGATCAGAAATCGTATCCGGTGTTCAAAGGTGTTCTATCGGTACGAGTAGGCCGTACTATTATCTGATTTGACCTTGTACTAGCTGCCCGTACTATAAATTATTTAGGTGTAAGTAGGTTTTAAAACAAATTATCATTAAATTCAAATTTTACCTTTTAGCATCCGATATAGACTACACAATTTCAGGTTATAATTATGTAGAAAAACATCCTTTGAGATTCACTATCAAAATGATTCAATTATAGTTCAATGTACTAATTTTAAATACTACCTTATACCTACATAAGACTGCCACAAATAGAAATTCACTTGGCGTTGAATATAATAAGTTTAAGTATAAAATTAATCAGCAAATTTTACTGCATGGAACTTTCACTTTCTATGGGTATCTTTCCTTTATGTGGTTATTCTCACTCACTACTACTATGATACGACGAACTGTCAAGGCCGGTGCGTATTGGGCGGTTGCGATGATGTACGCGATGGTCAAACCCACGCTACAGTAGAGGCGCGCTGGCGTGAACGCGCCAACATATTCTATACCTCAATACCTAACACTTATATTCCGTAACGCAACGATCAAGCTCACAATAGTGGTCCTTCGAACTTCATAAGCAAAAAAAGATCTTCGATGTAAGCATTCTGCCACATCGATTGGTTTGCTCGGAAGGCACTCCCAGAATTGGAATGGGCCATCCAAGCACGGTCCCTAAACAAATTTTGATCACCAAAAGGTCCCTATTCGGTGTTAATGGGTTCCGAGGAAATCGCCGGAGCAAAGATGGTAGCACAAAGTATTCGCTCGTACCCGGCTACAACATCTATACTCTTTAGAAGTCCTCGGAGAAGCTAAATAATTTCGATGAAATTCATTAGACCACCACCAGTGAGCTCGATCCAATCATAAAAAAAAATCAATGCCAAACATCTACCTATAACAGATTTGGAATTTCCATCAAGCCGAGGAACACGGCCGAAACCAAAAAGGTCGATATAAATGATTTCCAGCCAAAAAACTTTTTTACCAAATTTGGATTTTGATGAAGCATCGCAGTAGGCTGCTTCGAAAACGTCAAATTTGTTTCCTCGGTTTGCATACTACAATTTTGACGATGGGTACAGCTCTCCCAAAACCCAGCGTACACAAGATTTGTTTGCGAACGCTGCAATTTGGGAGTTGCAGTCTGCGTACAAGCGTCAGCAGTGGTCGCTGCATACGTCGAACGTTCCAAAATGCCAT